ATCCTTCCACAAAGGCTGCCCCAAAAGTCATTTTAATGTTAATCTATATTTTCCGCAATGCGGGTTCCCGCAAGAACGTAACCTGCGTGCTGCGATGCGAACCATTCGAGGGCGGGCTAGACTTGGACCAACAGGAACAAGGCCTTTGTCGTTGGTCCGCTGCAATGCGTCCTTTTTCGTGCCAAGCCCGCGGATGTCGCTCCTCAATCAAACGGCCACTTGTCTCATTCGAATCGACTCATTGAGTGCGGAGTACCTGACAGCGTGGGAAGTACTTTGGAATAGCGTCGGCGATTCTCGTGTGCTGTACCACATCTTTGAATAGGTTCCAGTCGATGTCGTCTCACGATCCAACACTCCTCCTCGCGAATGTAAGCTTTCAATAGTCAAAGGTCGACGGATGGCAGAGTGGTACGCAGTGCGACCATGGCACGTCAGACCCCTTATGTCGTCCCAACTTTGTGCGTCTGCAAGGCGGGAGACTGGAGTTGGACAACTTGTCGTCATCAAAAAAGCCCTCTGGCGTTCAAGGGGGGGCACAGGCCACAGGGGAAGCCCGGCGGAGGCACGGCACCCCTCGGTCTGAAGTGCTTGCAAGGTCATCCCAGGAGCAGGCGTGTGAGACTCGGATGACCGAGGAACTCAAAATGGCTCAAACCTGCTGTTCATGCGAGCGACAAGGGCATTGCGCTGTTATGTGTAGGCACTCACGTAGGGTTCCCTCCGGGGCACTACTCCGGTAATAAAGCCAGTTTTGCAGCCGCAGTATACTCTTTCGACACCAGGCGCAGTTCTCAGGGGGTTTGATCCGATGTTCATCAGACTTGGATTTCACGTCGCCTTTGCTGAACCGATCCCGCGTCAGGGGGGACGCGGGCAGCGCGGGCTCCTGGGCTTAGCGAGCCGCAAGGCACCCACATATCTCTGATGCCGGACGGGGATTTGAACGTGAGATGTGACTCCGCCCTCGACCCAGCAGCCGTAAGGCTCTGAAGTCTGGTTGGCTTCCCTGATGCAGATCGCTATATGGCAGGCTCGGGTCGCTACGATTTCCTGTGAATGGGCGTTCATGGCGGCGGACCTAGAAACGCGAGCGGCGAACGCAGACCAGCTGTCAATGATCGTACACGGGTCTAGAAGGCACAGTTAGTTGACAGATTGCAAGGCTAGAGCTCGAGATCGTAATAGTCTAATCGCGTGCGTCGCGCTATGTCTACGCACGGGCGAGACATCATGCGGGTTTAACCTCTGCCACGTCGAGGGTGGCTGGACGGCGGCCTCTGTTCAGCTTCAACGAGACGGTGCGTGGGCTGCGATTGGTGACTTTTGTGACCTCAGTTCTCCCTGCTTCGAGTCTGCAACGGTGCATTCCATTAGGTCCCACGTCCCACTGGACAGGCCATGATGCTAGTAAGGCAATTTCGATTCCGCAAACAGGCGTTGCGGGCAGAAACGGCGGCCCACCGGTAGTTTAGCTTGAGTGCAATCCTCTGTTTCTTTGAGGGAATCGTTCGTGATGGCGCACATAATAGCATGGATAGGTAGGTAGCCACGGTAGCACAGAAGAAATCGAGCGTTCTGGTAGCGATGCCGATACCGACTCGAGCCAAGTGCGAAACGAGGTGCATGTCGCCTCAACACGCGGCATGGCGGCTGAGGCGCAGGTAGGGTGCCATCCATCACGAGCATCATGGAGGACGTATCCATATACGCGCCGCAAACGAATTGTCGTACAGATACGCCGGAACAAATCATCGGATGAGGGAGATGGGATTCTTGTCGTAGGGGCCCTGTAGGCACCTCATCTTGGATACTCGGCTGGCCTCGCCATTTGGACTTTGTAGACAGCTGACGAACGAGGCCATGGCGTCATTTGGCGAACCCTTCAGAAGTTGAGAACGAAGGAGGGAGGAGAAGCCCATGTTGTACAGTCAACTCGTAACAAGATGCATTCTCGGCCATTGGGATGTACGATCCGTAGTGATTAAACGCGGGCCTGGGTCGAAGGAATACTGGCAGTCCCCTCCATCAGCGGGCTGAAACAGCCTACTAACAATCGAGATGGGAATTGGGGACGAGTGGTCATTGGTGACGAAGAGGGCAGGGGTAGTGGTCGAGTGGTGTGTTGGAGGCACGCCTGTCTTGTCTTCTGATTAATGTCTCGAAGCTGCCGCGACCGAGGCATGCAGGATAAGATTAAAGATGGGATTGAATCAGGAGCCGCATGCGCATGTGCGTGAAAGCGAAAGCCAGTGGGCTTCTGGGTTGCGTGAATGCAGACTGTAGGTATTCGCTCGAGAGAATGGATGCGTTCGGGAAGAGGTCGATTGTGAGAGAAGAGTGGCTGGCTGTTGTGTTGCTGAGTGATTCGTAGTCGTAGACTCGTGGTAGCGGTACGAAGTAGTGCGCTTTGGAGTCTGGAGAGTAAGCACAGCCCGGATTGCGCATGGGAGGGATTGACATTGACAGCTGAAGCCTGAAGAGGTGGCCCCGTCTCCGCCTCCGTTGCCCGTGAGTAGAGGTAGGTTGATGATGCAGGTGCCGATGGTGGTGGGCTGGTGAGGTGTTTACCTAGGTAGGTACCTTGAGGTGAGTGCGCTGTCAAAGTCGTTGTCCATAGTGAAATCGGTGGCGGGGTACATGGGGACGTGTCAAGACAACTGCGAGCCGCCACTCCACCAGCCCCAGCCGGCCAAGCAGTGCTGCCAGACTGCCAGTGTGCACGCACAAGCCAGCCCCCAAAGAATAACCCAGCCCCGAACAACCCCGGCAAGTGTTGTTCTGTTCCTGAATCCTGCTTGCAATGCCTGCTTTCATTGCAGGGCTGCCGATGTCTGCTGGGACGCTGAGGAGGGTTGCACACTGTTTAACTCCATCGTTTTGCATTACTAGAGGATTGCCGCAGTACATGTAGACGCTACCCTGCCCTCGAATTCCGCACTATTCAACCTTAACCCTTTTCTTACCTATCCTTTCCTCTATTCTACCCTCTCCCTCGTTAAGGGATCGCTAGAATCGTAGTTTTAATAGCTTATTAATAAGCTAGTACTACTATTTAAAAATAAGTAACCTACGCTCGTATATAGGCGCCGGGAGTCTTATTATTATAAAAATAGTAATAAATATACTAAAGTACTCGAGAGAGCTTTTTAATAAACTTTTAATACTATTTAAGGCTATAGTCCTCGAGCTATAAGAAAAAGCCGAGGCGCTATATTAATATAGCCCTATCTATCTTATTAATACTAATAATAGTCTTTTTAATATAAAATATATTACTAATACTCTACGGCTACGTTATTATGTTTCGTAAATCGTGCTTAACGTTAGCGAGGATTCTAGTATTATTTCTTAGTTCGTTTCTTAGTTTTTTTATTAAGGCTATTATTATAAGGTTAGTTTAGTTATTAATATCTTAGCAAGCATTTTAACTTAACTCGGAGGCTCTTATAGCCCTTAAGGAGAGGCTTTTAAAAGACTTATAATTAGACTTTTTGCCTATTATAGGCAAAGCTATTATGGTTAAAGCTATAGCGTTACGAACCTCGATAGTAAGTAGTTAGTAATATAGTTATCTTTTTCTTATAGCGAGCTTAAAAAAGTATCTTAATTTAAGTACTAGGTAGGCACTACACTATTTTATTAAAACTATATTCTTATACTTATAACTTAGAAAGAATTAACTTTCTTCGATAATAAGGTACTCAGAGGAGGGTTATAATTGCTAATTACTCCGCACTTTGAGATGGGAGGGGCCGGATCCAGTCTGACGGAGCCAATGACGGACATTGTGGTGCCACGGTGCCGTAGTCGTCCAGGCAGGCAGGCACGCTAGCAAAAATAAAATAGTGCCTTTTGTCGCGAAGTAAATGGAAGGATTGCGATGCTTTACCTTACCTAAGGTACTTCAAGTAGTTACCTAAGTAGCTTTTGGCTGCTGACAACACACTCAAGATACTTCACCCAGCATGTCTTCCGTCCAATTATTGAGGTGACCTTTGGTGCTTACCTTAGGTACCTAGTAAAGGTAGGTAGGCAGGCAGATACCATGGTACCTTAGACACGCATACATGTTAGGCACGCCGCGTATCCGGACCTCTTGGTACTAACGCATCTGAGGTCCAGTGCCTTTTTGCATTGCTGACGAGGTGGGCAATCCACAAGGTACTTTTCCACCTTGAACATATCGATGACATCCTTGTCAATCCCATCCCAACTTTCCCAACTTCCCAATCACAGAGAGAGGGAAGACAAGGTCAATGTTCAGACACCCGGCCCCGTCGCAGGGTTCTCCGTGGCTGCCAGCTTTAAACTTGAAGCCGAACTTACACCCCCCTCCCCCCCCCCCTCTACGCACTACGCACTACACTTCCTTACCACCTCACCTATTACCCTGTACTCTCTCTTCCGTCTCCCATCTCTTCCGGTGTCATTCACTCATTGTTCTGCTTCTGCCACCCCGTCAAGTTACATTCTTATCCAACCAACTCCTGGACACTCCTCTCAAGTTTCTTCTTTCTCCTTACCAAGGTACTCCTTATCCTACAGGCATATGCTGCGGTCCTCGTCGCGGAATCCTCGTCTACTCCTCCCTACTCCTCAATTCTCAAGACCCTTGATGCTTGTTTCTCCTAGCATCGCAACACTACGGCACTGAAAATACTCAACGTCGTGGCAAAGGCAAACCCACCCCTCGAACTTCATCGCTCCAATCAACCTGTTCAAACTCCTTCGTCCCACGTTCTCGAGTCCCACCAGCCCTCCGTGGTCAGCTTCCGGTGCCTTGATCCCCCCTGGCCCTACCTCCTTGGTGATTTCCTCTAGCCAGCCGATTGGTGAGAGTCTAAGCAGACCAAAAACTACATCCGCAGTCAAGCCAAAGAGAAGTGAGGCAAGGTAGCAAAGGGGAAGGGGTAACGGAGTACGCAGTACGGATACTGCGCCGTCATCCCAATTATAGGGTAACCCACCGCCATCCCATCCGGGGGCCCTCGTTCAAAATGGACTTCCTCCGTTCTCACAGTCGCAAGGGAAGATCCCGCTTCTCAAAAGCCCTACCCACCCCTCCGTCTCCAAAGGCCGAATCTCTTCCCAAGTCTAAGCAGCTCCCTTCGATACCTCCCGTTCCTCCCCTCCCGTCCAAGAAGACGAAGACATTCGCCATGTCAGACAAACCGCTTCCACCACCGCAACCCCTCAACCAGTCTCTCCCTCCCCTCCCTCCTCTCGAGACAAAAGCGTTGCCCCCGGTACATATACCTCGCCGCCCAGTTGCAAAGCAAGCACCACCGCCCTCCGCCCCGGCGAACCAGCAGAAGCAGCAAGAGCAGTATTCTCCCGAGGACGAAAGGAACTCCATCGGCAGTCTGCTCTCGGCCTATTCAAGAAGCTCAGGGGAATCCCTCATCATGTCGCCGGATGGAAGCGCAAGTCAGAGAGATTCGAGCCAGGCATACAACTCTGAACAGTATGGGACAAGGGAAAACAAGATTTTGACGCCAACCTCGTTGTCATCCGGTGACAATGACCACTACGGCGCACAAAAGTTCACAACCAACAAGGGCCTACCACCTCACCCGGCCTACTACAATGAGCAGGCCGGCGCCGCTCCGGTCAACTCGGCACCCGCCCCGACTGCTGGCAGCCCGACAAGCTATGTATCGGCAGCATCGCCTCAGCAACAGCAGCGACCACTATGGAGGAGGAGATCCGTAAAATCTGATCGTAATATAGAGGTGCCAGATCTACACCTAACAGTCAGCCACGGGTCAACCGCTGCTTCTTCTCAGCCGAACACCGCGCAATCATCTTACACAGCAACTCCTCCTCCGGCCCAGCAGCAACAATTTCCTCCTCGCAGCACATCGAATCTTCCCGGCAGAAATATTCGCCCAGTTCCCTCTCAAAGTCAGGCGGCTCAGACGAACAACATGGGCCAAGAGGTCTCGCGGTTGAAGGAGAAAGTCCATCATTTGCGCGATGGTCAAAATGGCGCAAATGTGGGAACGTCTCATAGCGACACTGCGCTCTCGCCAACTCAACGCCTGCCGACTCCCGATTATGAGAAGGAAGACGTCAAAACGCCGGTTGTCGAAACAATCGTATCGCCCGTCTCACCCGCTTCCTCTCCCGAGCCTGGCCGCGAGCAATCGAACGAGTCCAAGCCTCCTATCCCCCGCAAAGCGGTCACGGCCCGCAACTTACACAACGCTCAGAGCTTGCCTCAAATGCGCGCAGATGGGCCTGTGACCAGCAACGAGGCTCCCCCGACAATCACGAGAGACTTTGCAGTCAGCCCTGTTAGTCCCGATCCTCAGAACCAGCTGCCGCCTCGGGCCGCCTCCAACAAGCAGCAGCAGCAGCAGCAGCAGCAGCGGGAGTATGTACCCTATGCGCCAGCACCCGGATTCGCGCAGGGAGATATGCGACCCGCCTCGAGAGATCAGCGCCCCAACCAAGAACCCGTCGAGTACCGCGAGCTCAAGGTCAAGGACCTGCCGCCTGCCGACCCTCGCGCGTCGTTCTTCCCCATGCAGGGTTCCGAGCCTCCCAGCCCCGGCATGATCTACAAGGCTCTGCCATTAAAAGAGAGCATGCTCGATTGCTACGTCAAGCACCGCACCATGGACCGAACTCGCAACCGCAACTACGCCCTAACATGCCAGACGTGCGGCAAGGCCGATACCGAGGATCGTTACAAGTGCCAGTTCTGCTACGTACGCATGTGCGCTTCCTGCCTGCAAATCTTCAACAGCAACCGCAGAGACCTCCGGAAGCTTATGGCTCACTTGGAGGGCAACCCTCAGAGCGGCGGCTCCCAGGAGCGTCCTCCCACGGCAGCTGGCATCGAGGCTCCCGAGAAGGAAGAGCAGCGTACAGACGCTCAACAACAGCAACAGAATCAGCAATCAGTCACAGCCTGATTGCTTTCAAATTCACATTTTTCCAATTCTCTTCTTGTTTGCTTGGCATAGGGAAATCACATGGTCATTTTCACTTCCAAGCGGTTTTTCAACATTTTCCCCGGCGGCCGGACTTTCACGGATCTTCGTCACCAAGGGGAAATGACCAACTTTCTGCATTGCGGGATTAGATAGAGAGGTCGATTGGTTGATACCCCTTCTCGCCCCCAAGATACCAATGTTTGTCTATAGGAAGTCGTGGCCCCCAGGGAAAAGGATGGAAAAGGGTCACGCGCACATTTTTCTTGTTTGCTGGAACGGATCACTACTACTACTACTACTACTACTTGCTTGATGCAAGCTCTGAGCATACGAAAACGAAGCTTGATAACGAGAAAGGACAATACAGGCAAATGGGGAAAGACAGGTTAACTCCAGATTTTGGAAGGGTGGGCTCTCAGAGAGCCGGAATTGAAGCCCGACTACTTTTTTCAAAAAAGAAGAAAAGGAAATTCAAAGTAAAGATCTTCAAGCTCGTATATGCGGTGAACTGTGGTGCTACATACGTCCCAGAACTCAGGGACACACCAACGAGAAGCGCAACGCTTCGTGTAATAAGCAAAGACGCGCAGGAACTGTTTCCTCGACTTGCCCATCTGCAAATGTGTCGGGGCACGACGTTCAGCGAGAAGGGGGGAGAAACTAGGCAGGTTGAGTTATTTACCGGATGTACCGGAAATTACTGCATCGCGTTGGCGGACACACGAGGGATGTTACGAAGTACGGAGTATCCATACGGACTGGTAGGGAGGGGTCTCATCGGAGAAAATAAACGGAAGGAAATAAAAAGACACCAGCTGAGATTCGCGAACAGACGGGGTGCCACTGTTCGGCTCAGCCCGCCGACGTTGGAGTCGAGGAGATCCAAGCGTCGGCGCTAGAAGACTCCTTGGAGTCCTGCAGGGCGGTGGCTGGACCGGCCCGCTACTGCAATACTTTGGTTGTGGCCAGGTCTAACCATTAGCCATAAGTACCGTTCTATCTTAATGCAAACTCCCATCTGAACCTGGTCCTGATCCTCACCCATCATCGGCCCCCCACCGTCGCCCGGGCCCCTAGCAACCCCCACACCGCAAAGAAACCGTACGGCGCGGCCCCTGACGTCGAAAATCAACATCAACATCGCGAACCCGGCGGCCCTTTGGCGAAGATACCCACCGATTTCGCTGCGACCCTCATCGATCTCGCATTGGCGACTCTTTCGCTAACTCACCAATTGACCGAACAACCGACCGCGAGCGCGGGGTCCCCGCAGCGACCTCGAAACCCGGCCGCGACTCGCGCCGAGACCAGCGGGACCATCGAGCATCGGGAGAGAACCACCGACCTCCAGAACCGCATGATCACCACACACATACCAGAGACCCCGGCGTAGTCATGTCCTCGTCGCTAGCCCGCACCCGCTCCCTGCGAAAGCCAACGCAGGGCTCCTCGACCGATCTTCCCCCTACGACCGCAACCTCCGTATCCTCCTCGGCTTCAATCACGGCAGCTAGAGGCCCCGCGAGCTCGACCACAGGAGGAGCAGCAGCAGCGCCATCAGCGTCGGCGTCCACATCCCACCGCCCCGTATCCCCGAGTAGACTCCCCGCGCCCCGGTCCCTCGCCGCAACACGTCCCACAACACGCACCGTCTCCGGCGTCAGCGTCGCGAGCAGTACAGCGGCGGCGGCCACAACCGCCTCCGAGGCGCCCAAGAAGAAGAGGCCGAACCCCTTATCGTCGCTGCTGAGCAGAAGCTCTTCGACGCGCCAACCAGCGTCCGTGACAACGTCGATTTCGACGAGACAGAGAGATGTGGTAGCAGGTGCTGGAGCAGGAGGAGGACTAGCTAGCTCGGGACCAATAAGCGCGCCTTTAAGCAGGACAAGCGCGCTCTCGGGCCTTACGAGGACGACTTCGACGAGGGAACCGGGGCTGACACGGACGCGATATCCCGCAAACGCCTCGACGAGCAACCTCAGCCTCGTCTCGTCATCCAATGGTGCTGCAGGTAGAACCGGCGCTGGTTCCGGACCGTCGACGCCTACGACAGCGAGACCGACGACCTCGGGCGGTCTACCATCCTCGAGACGCGCCGGTGCACCAACGACGACTTCGACAGGAGCAGCAGCAACAGCGGTAGGAGCTGGGAGTCCAACAAAGGGCCACGCGCGCGCAAGGAGCGTCGCGACCCTGAACAACAGCACCGTCCTCCGACCCCCAAGCCAGACGTCGTCTACCGGGGCCACTGGCGCCGCACCGAGATCACGCCCGACGTCCCTATACGGCGCACCTCCGACGTCTTCCTACCCATCCTCAACAGCATCCACGACCACGAGACCCCGTCCCCCCTCAGCAACAGACCGCCTCTCCTCGAAACCATCCGTATCCTCCCTCTCCTCCGCAACAACCACAACATCAACGCGCACAGCCCGAGCAGGCAGCACAACAACAGCACCAACCCGCCAACCCCTAAAACAACCTCAAAAACCGCCACCATCCCACCAAGCAGCAACAACAGCACCACCACACCTCGCCCGCCAACAAGCCCAACAACGACACCCCTCCCCAACCTCACCACCCAGAACCACAAAACCAGTCCTCCGCCCAGCCTTCTCGACCTTGCAACAGCACTACTCCCCCGCCAAATCCCTCGCCCCGAAACCCCTGACGGCAACCTACCTCGCCGCCCCGTCCCCGTCAAAGCTCCCCGCCAACGTCGCCCTCACGGCAGAGACCTCCCGCCTCCAAACAGAGCTCCTCCAGCTCCACCTCCTCCACCGCGACCTGCCGCAGGTCACGTCCCAATGGCACGCCAGCGCCCGCTCCAAACTCGCCGCGCGCCACGCCGACCTCGCGGCCTCGGCAAGAAGCCTCGCAGCCCTCGAATCCGACGCCGCGGAGCGCCGTAACCTCGCAGCCCTAAGTAGCTGGGGAGCATCCACCGGCAAAAGCGGCAAGGCAGCAACATCATCCCTGCCGCTGGAAGACCGCGTCCAGCGCCTAGACGCCCTCCTCACATCCCTCTGGTCCCTCGACGACCCAGGCGGAAAACACCACCGCCTCGTCCGCGCCTTCGAGCGCTGGGCCTCTTCCCTCGCCGACCTCGAAGCCGCCCGCGCCCGCGCAGAAGACGGCGCCGACCCCTCCGCCCTCCTAGACGACAACGCGGACGTCCGTTTCGGCGGCGGCCTCGACGCGCGGTGGAAAGACGACGCCGCGGCGTTGGTAAGGCGTCTCGAGGGGTGGGATGCGCAGCTCAGGGAGCTAGAGTATCGCGGTGATGATGACGAGGACGCGGCCTATAGTACTACTACGACACAAGCGTCGAGCTTGAAGCGCATGTTGGACGGATGCAGCAGTCTCGTCAGGGACATGCTCGACGAGCTGGCCGTCATGGAAGACATTGAGGCAGCGGCGGTGCAGAGGGAGAACGAGTGGATTAAGAAGATGAACAGAGAGGGAGACGACGGCCGCGGCAGAGATACCCAGAGAGCCGGTGCCATTTGGAGAGTGATTTAAGAAGACAGGCTGTGTTCTGACCGATCCCGTATAAATGTACGTCACATACAGTAAGCCAGCAGGCAAGCAAGCGATGATTCCCGGAGAGGCACCCTGGACAGAGCAAAGGTGTCTCGGCGTCAAATTCATCAAATATCAATGTCTGTTTTGATGCTCTCTCTCAACGCAACTTCTGTTTTCCGCTGTTATCCACCACTTCCGCTGTTGGTAATCGATTCATCGTCCTCCATAACGATACTTTCCACACCCCATTACCTAATTGTACAAATCAAAAGTTGTTTTGTTCTGACTGCAACCTCCGGTGCTTTGCAATTTCGGCCCGCACACACCCTTCCCATCTCTGTGTGACCCATCAGATCAATGCTTCAAGCCAGGTCAAGTCGCCGCCCATGGCGAACTTCCACCATGCAACTCCTACAACGATGGCAGCCGTGCTCGTGGCCAGCATCCTGCGGACAAAAGTCAACCTGTCAGATATTGTGAGGAATAATGACAAACAAAGGAAAAGGTAATGAGAAGAACACGAGCAACCGATCCACTGTGCTATGCGAACCGGAATAGAGAGATGACCTTACGCCTTTCTCTTGCTGCCGAACAACCGGCTAAACAGTCCACCAATCCAGTCTACGAACAATACGCGGAAGAAGGCCTGGAGCCAGCCTCCTTTGCTGTCTGCGACGCTGTGTATCGAGGAAGGGGTTCCAGGACGCTCGGTCGATGCAGGCCCGCGCTTTTTGAGCTGGCCTTTGTGACCACCATCGCGGCCGGAGGTCGTTGCCTCGCCGCCGGGGCTCGAAGCAGAAGCCCTTGCCAGTTCGCCGTCCTGACTGACACTGGAGCTTGCTCTGTCTTGGGGCGGCTCAACGCGGATGGCAGGGCTCAAAGGCTCGGCGGGGCGAGTCTTAGGCGACAGATCCCTTGACTGCTTGCCGTTGGACTGGCCGTTGGCAGCAGGTGAATCTGAGCTTGACGACTCTGAGCTTTTCCTGGATTTGGAGCCTTTCATAACGACTCCCTCGTCATCATCACTCCCGGGAGATGTAAAAGCATGCGGCGTTGGCCGTACCGCGGGGCTCGGAACTCTGACCAAGCCCTCATCCTCGCGATTGGCCTCCTCGGCATTCGGAGTCTCCTTATCCTCTTCGGCGATTGATCCCAGAGAAAGGAGTGATCTGTCCGAGACCATGGAGCCGTGTGACTTTCGCGGAAGCTCCAGCCTCTTGGTGGAGCCCGGACTAGAGGGGCCAGACGAAAGGACAGCTTCATCGAAGTATTGATCAGAACTGGCCCGGCGTGTTCCATTTACAGGTGAAATGGGCGCGCCATAGAAAGCAGTCTGATCCTCGTTGCGCCCAGTCTCGACCTTGCGCACGGCATCGATGATTCCGTCCCTGTTAGAGGGCCACCGCTCGAGGGTGGGATCATTGAGGTCATACTCGTCGACATCGTACTCCACAGTGCCATGATGATCGTAGTCCTTTGGAATTTCATCTTCGTCATCAGCTGAAGGCTCGTAGGGTCCAAGAGCTTCGTGAGCGAATAAAGGTGCAGGACAGTCGTCCGAGTCCTCTTCCTTAAGATCCTATCATACTGTCAGTCATGGCTCTACAATTATGAGTCTGCCGCTTGTTTGGCACATACCTCATCAGCGTCTAGCTTCTGGGCAGAATCGGCAACCTCAGCCGCAGTGCTCGCAACTTGTTCAATCGGCGTCGAAGACAGACGCCCCCTTTCCTCGTCCTTAAGGTGCTCCACGCCCTTGGGGAGCGCTGCAAGTCTAGACATGTCGACCTCGGCGTCAAGTTTCTCGGCGGTATCAGCGACCTCTGCGGCGGTGTCCGCAACTTGGCCGATCGGGGTCGACGAAAGTCTTTGCCGCTCCTCGTCCTTGAGATAATCTTGGAGCTTTGTTTTCGGCTCAAGCTGGGCAGCAGTATACTCTCTGGCAGCTTTTGACGCGTTCACGTCTTCGGAAGTTGAGGCGTTTTCGCTTGCAGGTTGGCTGTCGCCGTTCACACCGTTGAGTTCCTTCAACTCTTGAGACGCAGGTGCTGTCAGAAGGTTGTTACGATTGCCAGATCCGTCGGTGACTGTAGATTACGTCCATGTTAGACGAGCTTGCTGAAAACGCAGCATTGCGCAACTTGGGGGCAAACATACCTATAGCTGCAGTCTCGTTAAGAACCCACCAGTCCCCTAGACCAACACGGAACTTGTACTCGACCTGCGTGTTTGGCCGAACTTCAATGTTCTTGTAGAACGTGTGTTCTCCACCATCTTCGGTGGTGAAGTCCATCTCCTGGGGCTCCCATTTTGGATTTGAGAAGGAGCCGGCGACAAAGATGGGAGGCTGCGTCCCGGGCTGCTTGTAGGTGATGGTCACGGAAACCATTGTCGACGACGGCCTCCGCGGCGAAGTAGGTTGAAGTTGGGTAGCTTAACTCTCGTCGTCACTCGGCCAACTCAATCGCACAAGGACGAGCGTTTGAAAAGGTGGATTCTCTTCGTCGGCTGCCCTTCTATCACGGCTCAAGTCAGCACAGGTAAGAGAAACCTTTCGGGAAGGAAAACTCGATGAAAATGGCAGAGAAGGAAGCCGTTCCCTTGAAACCCACAGCGAGGGTGGCGGGTTGAGATGGGCAACAACGCTGACGAATGCGGCTGTCTCTGGGCGATACCTTAAAATGCGGCGCTAGGCGTAGGAAGCAAGAAGGCGTCAAAGGTGATGGGATTGACTTTTGGTGAAGGAAAAAAAGAAATGGAAGAACACCAAAGGGTGCGAGACAATTCTACGAGAGGAATCTGGAGTGTGGAGTCTCCGGATGAGTGTTTCACGCAACGACGCCAACGAGGAAGATTCGGGGGCTGCGTATTTTGTGCGAGTGAAACGGCTTTGAGGGAACGAGCTGGTTGGGGTTTGGAAGAGTACGAGGAGAATGGGGCAGAGCTTACTGCAGCAAGGCCATACGGAGGCCGAAGGAGAAACGTAACGTGCAGATGCTTCGAGCTGGGTGAGAGGAGCTCAGATAGCAGAGAGATCAAGAAGCCCGTACCTTGTTCTGGGTGAGGTGGGTGGGAGGTGCAGCAGCTCAGAACAGGGAAGCTGCGGCACAGGAGGGGTTCATTGCATGATTATTCCGTATGTCGTATGTGCCATGTCAAAGGTTGGGGTGTGCCGGCCGGAGAGGAAGGAGACTGTGAAAGAGGTTGGGAAGGACGAGGTCATGGAGGAGGCTAATTGCTATCTAAGCCTTCTAAGGTGGTAGGAAAAGTTGAGGCAAAGCACTTGCTCACTTTCAGCTTCCTTACTTGCCCGAGTTTGAATGCAATCTGGTTTGCGACCTGCAGTCGGGGACTTTGTTTGCCATGGCTTCTAACGCTATGAGAAATAAGACCCGGACTTGTCAGCAATTGAGCTGGATTGCACCATCTATTTTGTATGGCACATGGCGATTGCTGGTCCCTGATGAGACGAGAATGGACCATAGAAGTAGAAACCTGTGCTGAGGTATGAGATGAGATCGCCGCTTCCTCTCTTTCACCAACATTACCCATTCCTCCCCCGTTTGATCCAAGTTTTGTTGGCGGTTTAGCTCCCGACGCAACACTCAATGCGCGACCTGAAGCTCCCGCAAATCATTGCCCCAGCATAGAGTAGCGGTTATCAGCACCGCAGTCAATGGCCACCCAGCTGCTCCATCTCAGCGCCGGCATGCTTTGTGCGTCATCATCCCTGATGCATCCCGAGAACAGGGGAGTCGCTGGGACATGGCCATTGGCTATGTTTGCTCCCGTTTCCAAAGTATCGGAGACTTTCTAGCACCGCACGAGCCATGCAGCTCCACAGTCGCTGGGCTAAGGTAAGCTGGTCGTGGGTCCCAGTGGATGAAGTTGGAACTGGAGGGCCTGGCCCAGACCGGGACGGCAACTTCAGACATTGAGCTAACAGCCATCTCCATCATGCCAAACAAGCTCCGTGGAATGGGTATTTCTCTGGCAATCAGCTACAATTCCATCTCAAATGTTTATTTATCAACGAAGTTGCAGCCTACGAAACCTACGCAGTACACACCAATACCATAGACCTTTTATCTCAGCACCACTGCCTTGAGATCCATACGCAGGCGTGGTGGCTGAGGTGGTCGCGTGCAAAACTCCAAAGTAGCGTCTCCTGTCCAAAGGCTACACAAGTGAGGAAGGGTATCTAGATGCTGCAGAGGTTTCGAATGTCGCCAAGCTCAGCGAGAGCGGGGACCAGCTCCCCATGTCTCAGTCATCTGGAAATTTTCAAAAACCAACATGATAGCACTCAAGATGCTTGGGAAGCGTTCCTGGATGATTTCAGACGCTCAATTGGCCGTATCTCATCCAGCATCTAGAACCTTGACGCTTGTGCTGCTCAAAAAAGGTGGGAAACTCAACCGTGATCGGAAATGGCGGGGCTTCCATTTCCCCCATCCTCAGCCCGGCGTATTTTCTGCCGGAAGCGGTGAGATTCTTGGCCAATGACGTGATACTGCGATAAGAATTTCTTATCGCAGCTCTACAGCACACTGTCACGACCTAAGGTAGGTGTGCTCGACATGTGGTTGCCGTGTGCCTTAGCGGCTGCTTCCAGAAAAATCCACCTTCCAGAAAAACCATCGTCAACCAGAACTGCATGAATTGCAACGTCGCAACAGATCCAGTCTAATCCAGGAACTGTCTATGCAACTTCTGAGCGCTTGATTTATTTCTCGGCATCCACAACAAATCATTCACGACCCCGATAACACCCCCGTTCCTTACGTTTTTCTGATTTCGCAGTCTCTATTATTCTCTCTAGCCCATCATGTCTGCCCCTCCTCAACTGATCCACATCAAGAGGAAGCGGGGCGATGAAGATGCTCCGGTCACCTACCTTCGTACGACCGCTCTTCCCTTTTTACAATCAACGGACGGACAAATTAATAGGAGACAGAACTCGAGCCGGGATCCAAACGACATCTTGCCGGCAGCAG